AGGGACTAGCTAGAGCTGTTCTAGGAAAAAAAGATGGTAATAGTTGCCTGATACTGTTGGGTTGCAGCTGCCCCATTGCACGTTAAGTCTTGGGAAAGCAAAGGAAAGAAAGAAAAAGGAGACTGCTTCCCGTTTTCGTAAGCCAATGACTTCCTTCCCTGAATCATTACTGGTTAAATAAAGTCAAAACGATACAAGTCGTTCCCTGAATCCTTTGCTTCTGTGACATACCATCAACACCATCTGTGGTTTCACTTTTTTTTTTCCCTCCTTCTCCTCCTCCTTCTTCTTCCTCCTCCTCCTCCTCTTCTTCTTCTTCTTCTCCTCCTTCTTCTTCTTTTGCCTCTTCTAGCATTTCAAAGGGAGTCATTATATCATAGAGAAATGAGAGGAAACTACAAAACCAATCTGAACTTTCCTCTGCTAAAATATTAACGACTTCCTCAAGGGAATCAATATTTTCATTACTGCCATCATTGGTCAGGCCTACATAAGAATAAAGGAGGAAAGAGAGAGAAAACAAGGAGAGCAGTTAGGTGGAAAAAGAAACTCAGGATAAGAGTGATCTCAAAAAGGACGTGCATCATGGTCACAGAGTTTTACAGAAAGGGTATTTTGGAAAAAGAGAAATGGATTAAGATGCACATCTTACAACCAACTCTCAATCATATGAACTAAAGGAAAGGCACAATTTGACTAATCCTCACCATTCCTACCAGCCCCTAATTGGGCTTGCCTTTCTCTTCTCAGAGAATCTAGAGCTGAGAAACACAAAATTGTAGCAACCAACATCGACTGACTACTGTCAGTGGGAAGAGTGGATAATAGGAATATGAGGGTAAAAAGACAAATAGACTTCAGATTTGCTCATTTACCAACCTGATACTATGGAGAGTTGGGTATCCAAACATTTACTTATTTACATAAATAGTCACTGAAAACAGAAAGGTTTATTTCCTCAAACTTTCCCCTTCCGGGTTGGAGTTAACTTGAGAAACTCAGATAATTAACTTAATTTTTAACACTATAAAATATGTTAGTTCTATAATGCTCTGGCTACTGACACATGGTCTTTTAATTCTGGCCAATAATAAAAGTCAGTTGTTAATAATAATTCACTCTGCCTACCAATATGAAATTTGATCAATGGCCTTAGCTAATCACTTACGATAAGAACATTCCAAAGTTCTGTCCCTGGGAGCCCAAGAAATTATCTTCTACTGCAAAGCCCCCAGAATCCTGTTGTTTTTAAATCTTAGACCTAAAACAGTCCCTGATGATGGAAAGAAAGCAAAGCAATATTGGTTTTAATCATCTACTGTTTTTTTTCTTTGTCTGTGAAGAACTGGCATTGGGTAGAAAAGGTCTCTCTACTCCAAAGTTACCACTATTGCAAGTTATAGAGAGCAAGGCCTATAATTTTGAAGAGAGAAAAAAACACATGGTGGAAGGTTCTGGCTGTTTAAAAAATGTAAATATCTGTGACCTTAGAGATGAAATTACAACCAGCTAATTTAGTATTTCAAGCTTCAACAAACAGAATTTTTCCATGTAAGATACTACCAGCAATCAAGATTGGCAGGTAAGGGAAAATAAATAATAACTATTAGAATGAATTTCCCCTACTTTAACCCATAGAAGAACTATTATCATGCCATTCTCCATGTACTGGGGGAAGAAGGGGCGTCGCATTGCAGCTGGTATTTACTTTCGACAAACCTAGAATGTTTTTCACTGAATTTAACAGTTGACAAGGGCTATGAACAGAGGCGACCTATATTCTCGCCCAAGTCTCTGTGGGATTAACATTGCTTCTCCTTTCCTTAAAACACCATAGCTAAAAAAAAAAAAAAAAAAAAGAAAAAAAAAGAAAGAAAGAAAGAAAATCATAAAAAAAAACCCACCTACCATAGCTGTGTTTTTACAATAAAGATTTTTTTCTCTCTCCAATTTTCCAACATAAGTACTTCTAAGTATCAAACATAAACTATAAAACTTGACTGCCCTTCACTATGATAGGCTGAACTGTATAACAAATATGGAAAGGTATTTAATAACAAAACTATTTTATCCAACTATGCAACTTTCCTGTAATTCTTAAGACAATCGTCTGAAGAGAAAGAGAAAAAATTCTGGATATACAATTCCTTCACCGTCAAGAGCAGGCCCGAACCAAAGAGCAGGTATGAATGCTTTGCATGGACGCTATCCCGTTCTTTCCTCTCTTCAGCTCACTCATGCATCCATTCCAGTCTATACGTGTTTACCAAGGCTTCCCTTTAGTTCTCCAACATACCTGATAGCGTACCAGCTAGGCACCAGCCACAGGACAGAAGGCCAATCATGTAATCCTTCAGTGGGATTACTCTCGGATTAATTACTCTTACCACTTAATCCTTGGATCAAACTGCTATCAACTTTGTATGGAAGACAAGTTCTCAAAGAATATTTTTTCTAACAATGTAGTTTTCAATTATCTAGACCAAAATCAAGGACACTGTTAGAAAATGTTGACCACAAAAAGCAGGAAACTGTATAAACGAGAGCAGGCGTAGAATATTTTCAAAGCAGGAAGGGGCATGGCCAGAAACAATGAAATGATAAAATGAACAATGGCTATTGGTCTTGATTTACTCACACGTATTTCACTTTCTTTATATTTAACAAGAAAAACCAAAACTCAAAATGTTAACCAATCAATAAGATTTAGGTATTTGTAGATTTAAGAATAGAGAAATACTTATGAAATAAATGCCAAGACTATTAAAGTTCAACAATCTCAGCTATTACTGCCACAACCATGCCAAGCTCTTCCCTAATCTCCAACTTCCTACTTGGACACCCTCACCTTGAGCCAGAGCCCTTCCCCTTGAGCTGCCTCTCCAGTGAGAATGCTCTCAGGAAGTTGGACTTTTCTTGAGGTCTTTGCTAACTGCATTTGCTACCCTCGTAACTTCTCCCTAAGCATACAGAGCAATAATGGCCCTGTACCCTAAGAATTCTACCAGGTTCTTTCTTTGCAACCACCTGCCAGTAAGGGGGAGGGCATAACCAAACTATATATAACAACCTCACAAACTAAGAAAGAACTTTAGTCATAAAATTCAATTCTGGTCAAGGTTGCATTTCATACAGAGAATTCAAACACCATTGCATTAAGATCCCAGGACATAAGTTAGCCAAAGAGCTCGGCTATGATTTGTTTATCTTTCCTGAAGCTACAAGCCAACTGCGAATTGGTACACCTACAGGGCAAAATCGTTATCTGCACCTTTGTGCCCTCAGTAGTGTAATTACCAATGAACTCACATTCACCAAATTTGGTTCCACCTCCAAATATATAATTCTTGTTTAAAAAGAAAAAAACAACACAGACGTTATAATTTGTCCATATCACATATGTCTGTCTATCAGCAAATGGCAATGTTCATTAACAATTCACTAACTTGTTAGTGGTTGCTTAAAAACCTTGCAGTCTAAATTAACACTAAAACTCAAGCTATTAATGTTTGCTTTGTAAATCAGTGTGTTTTATAGAAAAATAACATATTTAATTCTAATAGCTGACACTTCCTATTTGACAGACAGATAGCTCACTTAAAGCCAAAATAATCAATAGAATATACATGAAAAGTAATGTTTCTAAAAATGAGGCACCTTGGCCCACATGAAGTTATTTTTAAAATTAAAAAGCTTTACTATTCAGGAGCCATTATTTAAAGTAAAGTAAGAAGCATAAATTTGAAAAATAATAAATAATAAAAAATAAAGTAATAAAATGGAGTAATAACACTTATAGGCAAGCAACTCAGCATCATTGTGACATGTTAAATTCCATATAACTTTATTTATTTTGCATACCAAGGATTAGAGTCTCCTGAGACTCACTATATTTATATACACTCAATTTTAGCTATGTAATGATGGAATTACATAGATTTCATTAAGGTTAAGACAGGAAGAGAAATTTCGTAGAGAGAAGCTTCCACCATTAAATAGCAAACATAATTCCCCTGAGCAATAATAAAATGTAAAGTAAAATTAAAAAGTTATATTATATGTAATCACAACTAAACCCTTTTTTCATATTTAGAGCTTACTGTTTTATGGGAAGGTTAAGATAAATCTACTGAAAACAGTTTCATTAGTTACAGATGTGGTATCCTCCCATTTTTTTTCATGCCCATGAAACATATATAAAATTGGGTCTAAGGAAAGGAAATGATGCAGCTTAATAAGCAGGAAAATATGTATTTCCCAGGCCAGATGATAGGAAATTTGCATATTAAACCTGTACCATTCTTTCTAATAAAACAGCATTTTAAAACAAATGAGAGAATAGCACATATTTATTTACTAGAAGAACATGTCAACGATAAAGACAGGTAATTCTGGTGATAGAAAAAGAGGGGCTCAAGACTTCCTAAATAAAGAAACCTGGCCAAGAACCACTAGATCATATTTTTTAAAATTGTACATCACATTTTAAGATGTTTACTTTTTTATTTCAAAATGAATTTATGTAATCTTTTAAAAGTTTATATCTTCAAATGGGAGTGGATTATATCAAATGGTGCTTTAAAAAATGCTGTAATTACCATATTTGAAAACAGATTAACACATTATATATTTAAATGGTAAATTCAAACTAAAAAGTGTTTTAAACCTGAAAAAAAGCATATCAAGTTGTTATACTTACTAAAAGTATATCTATAAGAGCTTTATGCTTTCCATTTATAAAAGTAAATAAAAATGTGAGTCCACAAAAAAATAATTAAACCTTTTAACATTTTAGCAAGAGTGAAATACATGATTTAAGCGGGAAATAATGGGGGGATAAGGACACATATGTAATAACTTAATCAATAAAGAATTTTTTTAAAGAAGATAAAGTATCTTCCATAAAATGTATACAATTGACAATAGGTATCATCAAGGCAAAGGTATTCTTTTCTTCCCAGTATCTTAGCAACACTAACAAAAAGTAAACGTCTACTTGCCTAATAGAACTTTGGCATCATCCACATCAAAATCCCCATCACCATCAGCATCATAGACTCCTAGTTTTCCTACAAGAGGGGAAGAAAGATAGATGTGGGAACAAAAGGAAAAACAATCTTAATAAGGTAATACCACCACTATTGCCTTCCTGCACATCAACCATCAATGTTACCAAGCAATGCAACTCTTTGCTTTTTTAATCCGGAAAAGCAATGTTACATTAACATCTTACCTAAAAATGATGGGCAATTCACTTAGAGATTCAGGAAATGTTTGCCTAACAAATCTTCAACATGTAACTGCGATAATATTTTCCTTAAAGGTTTCACAATGCCCTGATGTAATCATATTTGTAGCACTGTTTAAAAATTACAGTGCTACAAATATTTTAGGTAAAGATTTCAACATATATAAGGAATAATATTGATTCATTTCTAACAATCACATGAAATTTAATGTGCCCAAATTATGAAGTTCCACCCATCAATTTTTAAAACAAAAGGAACACACACACACACCAAGCCTCAAATACAGATTAAATGTAATTCACATCGAGTATAAGTACTCAGAATAAGAGGACAATTAATTTTATATTTTACTATAATCACTTACAACAGAAATATCATGAATCAATCTTTTTAAAAAAAGGCCTCTGAAAATAAAGCATGGCTTCCTAAAATCACAAAGAAACTTACCATCGTCATCCTGCTTAAAAATTTAATTAGCACTGGCCATCTACTACGATGAAAAAAAAAAAAAAAAAAAGGCTTAAAACAAAAAAATCTGAGAATACTACCAGAGCCTTTTGCTCATCAAGAACAGTAAATAAGCATTTTAAGACTTCAATAAGCATTTAAGACTTAATATGACAGGAACACTGTCATACTTAATTACCATTTCAAATGAGTCAAATACATTTAATTTTTAAAAAACATCCTAGAATCAATATGACTGCTAAATCACCAATGGAAAGTTGCTATGAAAAGATATAATAATGTACAGCAATATTTTAAACAACATTCACAAATATAGCATGATCACGAAAAAAGCAGTGGGCAGCACCATTACCATTTCTTTAATAAAAAGTAGATTAAAACATAAGAACAGGCAGAACTTTTGGAGTAGAGCAGCCATGGCCAATCTTTACCCTCCCAGAGCCCTTGTGCTACTCAGGAAAATAGTAAGCTTGCTATGTAAAAGTCCGGCTTAGACAACACACATATTAAATATGACAGGCATAATAAAGGAGAGCTATGAATTCTATAAGCTAAGAAAATGGAAAGCACTGATCTGCAGGTCGAGGCTACATACAGCACAGAGCTCACACATTAGAAACATGAAAAATATTTTAATTTCTGACGACCTTAAAAGGAGAAATTGGTCCTTTGTTGGGGGACTACATGAGACTTGGTTGGAAAGTTTATAAAGAGGATAATCTGAGGAGAAGGAAGTGTGCCAAAGGCCGCCTGCCCTGTTGATTGGAATTCCGACGTAGGGGAGACTAAGAGGAGTGTCGAAGGCGGTGCCCCTAATTATTCCTTGAGCTTTCCAAATGAGTCTGTGCACATGCAGGCCCCTGGGTGTTTACTGGAATCCTTATGCTTAAATCTTTGGGTGTCCTTGTTTAAAGGACACTACAAACACAGGTGCCCTCCTCAGATAATTAACCCTACTGATTGTATCTGAAAGATAAACTTCATCTCATACTGCTGCTATAATAAAAGCCTGAAGAGACAGGCAATTGAGGCTACCTGGGTTCCTTTAGCCAGGCAGTCCCTTAGCCCTCTTTCACAGCAAATGTTGTGTCTGAGTAATCCATTCATCTGTCACTCAGGGTCTGTTGGTCAGCCCCAGCACCACTTACATTCTCTGATACAGGTGATAGCTGAATTGGAAGAATAAGGATAAGATTTTAGAGACTAACACAAGAGGACTGAAAATGCATCTCCAATAGCCTACCTTGAAGTACCTCCGATAAGTTATAACGGAAGTCCTTTGCTTTGGCTGCATGCATGTAAAAAACACAGAAATTGTTACTTGTGCTCAATGGACAAATATCTGCAATCTCATCTTCTGTCAGAGACTTCCTCTCCTCTAGCAACCTAGGATTATAGTTTGGAATACTTTGTTTTCTGAAGTCAACAAAAGCACAGATTACACAGAAGGTTGTCTGTACACTAAAATACGTCTTCTGTTAGTCCATCAAATTACCCAGAAATTGCTTCAATGCAAGGCAGATTACACGTAAGAATGTTTAGTTATTCTTTGCCTTTATGCCCCCAGAAAAAGGGCTATAATCTAATAAGTCAAGCAGTACAAGAGGGTTTATGCAAGGGAGGGGATTTTCCACACAATATTGTGCATACAGAAAAGAATGGATTTTGATCAATGATAGGGTCCACATCTTCCCCTGGACACTTAAAGAGAAAAGACATTTATTTGCAATGGCCAGAAAGTGGAAACAGTTCTGTTTATCATTGATGAATCGAAAAGCAAGATGTGGCATATCCATACAATGGAGAATTATTCAGCCATAAAGATGGAGTATTAAACCTTGAGGACATTATGCTAAGCACAAAAGGCAGACACAGAAGGCCACATGCTATATGATTACATTTATATGAACTGTCCAGAACAGGAAAATCCACAGACACAGACAGTGTATTAGCATTTGCCAGGAGAGAAAAAGAATGGGGAATTGGTTGTTTGGGAGGATAGGTGATGGAATTATTCTGGAAATAGGTAATGATGAGGATAGCACCAGGTGATGAATATATTAAGTCAGTGAACTGTTGATTTTCAAATACTTATGATATTGAAAATCATATGAATTTCATCTGAGATTTCATAAAAAGACTTGGTGAGGTTAAAAAAAAAGTATGACTCCAAAATGACAAAGAATAATTAATTCAAATAATCATGAAAAATTGCAGTCATTATGGAGGAAGAAAGAGAAAAAGGAAGGGGAAGGAGGATGGATAACTATCAAAAACAACACATCAACTTCCACAATGAACATAGCTGTGACACACACACACACACACACACACACACACACACACACACACTTACACAACAAAGACAAATGCTCTCTAAGGCAAGGAATCATATGTTTATGATCCATTAATGGAACCTTAAGTCAATTCAGTGGCTCATACCAATATTTTTAAAATTCATAATATAACAAAATAGAATAGAAATTATAATAGAGTACTGCTTGTAGTGAGACTATCTACTGTTGGATAAGACTTTCCTCTGTGATACAGGTACAATCTAAAGCCTTTTTTGAAAACTATAGATCATGTTTAAAGAAGCTGAAAAGCCAGTTTCCAAGGTAACCTGATAACATCCTTTTTTCTACTGGAACAATGGAAAGGCTACAGAAATTAACATTAGGAAAAGAAGCTGATAAATCCTCACAATCACTAAGGGATGTCATTTACACTCTGACACATTCACATAAGAAATGATATCAAAATTCTTACCTAAGACTTCCTCATAATCCACAAGTTCAAACCAGATGACAGCGACAGAGGTCCAGACACCCAGCAGTGCAATGACCATAAACCAAGTGAAGAATGAACTTCCGGAAAGCACTCCTTTCCTCCCGTTCTTGTGTCCTCCGTGCTTTGTGTCTGTTTAAGAATGAAATGATGGACAATGTCATTAGGCAAGAAAACACTTAATCGAACACCTCTTTTCCCTGACTTATGTCTCCAGTAATTTCAAGTACTGACAATGTCCTAGTCAGTTCATTTCAAAACTACTTTCAACTTAAATTCTCCAAACATGTTACACAAAATAAAGATTTTGGAAATGAAAGATTCTGCTTAGACTCCACACCACATATGCAAAGCCCTAGCTTCTAAGTAATGAAAGAAAGAAATGATGAATGGACTAATAATTTTAAAAATAAAAATATTATATGTCTATTCCTTCCAATTTTTTATACAAACTAACTAAATATTACCTCCTTCAAAGCATTATCAACAATTTAATGAAATCGTAGAGAAATGTACCAAATCCTCTTCTGCCCCTTTTAATTTCTGTGCAATCTTAAAAATTTGGGGGGCCGGGGGATGGCCGGGAGGACAATGGGGGGGAAAAGGAAACTTGTGTAATATTTTAAACGAAGAATTTAAATTAAAAAAGAATAATAAAGATAAAATAAAAAACTCTGGCAACTGTCACAGGAAATCTCTCTCCCCAGAACCACTCTCCATTCTTTGCCAAAGAGGGACAGAAGGAGGAAGGAAACAATTGGCAGGAACGGGGATCAGGGAAGAAGAGAAGCAAAACAGTAAGATTCAGCCCCACTCCTTCCGGGACCCTGGGGCCTTAGGAAACAGGAAGGGGCTCATTCACAACTGGTCTCAATGCAGGAAGCAGCTTTGTAAACTGCCGTCCCCCAAAGTGTCATATGTCAAATCCGACATGTCTAATGTTCCTTTTATCCTTCTGGAACTATACTTCTTGCAACCAAAAATAAACAAAAATGATGAAAGTCAAGTGATATTAACAGAAAACGGTTAGAACAGTCCTTAAAAGGGAAGACCGTAATATTCAAGTTTCTCTTTGGCAGGAACATGTATAGTAACTATTATGTACATGTTATATTGACATTAAAAGATAGGTCCTGTCCTAAAATACCCTGTGAGCAAAGGAGAAGTTTATCAACCAGGTAAGAAAGTGGGACACCATCTCCTGCTTGTGAGCAGGTGTCAGCTCCTCAACGTGCTTCCCCGTGCATGGTGTGTGGGGTCTCCCCACCGTGTTGTCAGTGTCTCTCTAGAGAAAGGTGACCAGACGTCCCGCTTTTGGCGGGACAGTCCTGAATTTTAACAATTTGTCCAGCATCCCTCGGCGTTTTAAAAAAGTCCCGATTTCTGGAAAGAATCTTTTAAATCTTTTGGACTTTTTTAAAACGCCACGGGACGCGGGACAAATTGTTAAAAATCAGGACTGTCCCACCAAAAGCGGGACGTCTGGTCACCTTACTAGAGGGCACTCCTGGGTGTGTACACAGGACCACTCTGCATCCTGTGGGCTATTTCTCACGCTGCAGAGCAGATGGCATCCCCAGTGCCTGCTAGTCCAAAGGGAAGCAGCTTCCCGTGATTATGACAAAAACATGTGCAAACACTACCAACTGTCCCCGGCAAGGACAGGGGTAAGGATCTCTGTTTTATAGAGAAAAGAAGAAAACGATTCACCCAGAGTCACCAGCACGGGTTAGAAAGAGCTAGGAATAAACATCAACTTCACTGGTCCTGAGTTCCTTGATCCACACTGAGAAGACCGAATCACATGATTTTCAAAAAACTTGACAAGTTCTCATCTAGAACCTGCTTTCTGACACCTAAACCCAGGGCTAAGGACCAAATGCGGGAAGTAGTTTTCCAGTGGCTCAAATCAAGAATCTACTGCCAATTCTTCTGGAAGAAAAATAAACTGAAATTCTTGTTTAAAAGATATGCACATTTTTGCTCTAACCAGTTTGGCTCAGTGGATAGAGTGTCAGTCTGCAGACTGAAAGGTCTCAGGTGCGATTCTAGTCAAGGGCATGTACCTTGGTTGAGGGCACATCCCAAGTAGGGGGTGCGCAGGAGGCAGCTGATGGATGTTTCTCTCTCATCCATGTTTCTAACTTTCTCTCCCTTTCCCTTCCTCTCTGTAAAAAAATCAATAAAATATATTTTTTTAAAATAAAAATAAAAGATATGCACATTTTTTAAACTAACCAACAGATGAACTTTTCAAAAGGCGCCATACAGACTAAATCAATCTGAAAGCATACATATGTGTATACACACTCAAACATATATATCTTTATCTATACTTATGAATATAAAATTATGATGACCAAATAATATAAATTTCATTTATAAAGAAAAAGTCAATTTCCTTTCCTAATGTTCTTTAAATATTAAAAGATCCATCAAAAAGGGCAAAATTTACAGGAAAAGTGGGTCCTTGTCTTATCTCCTCTTGGACATTTTGTAATCCACACCAGTGTCTTTGTTGTTACTAATTAACTAGAAGACAATAAGAGTGAATAGATAACAGTTCATCCTTTTATTCATTCAGTTAACATATTTATCCAGCATGTGTCAGACATGATACAATTTTTACTCGATAATTAAGTTTTATTTAATTAAGTGTACCTAGATAAAAGTATGCTCAATATTTATTGAAAGAGAGGTGGGATGATTGGTGAAAAAGGTGAAGAAAAATACGAGATACAAATTTCCAATTATAAAATAATATAATTGGATGTAATATTCAGCATAAACAATAGTCATTAATAACCTTGTACAGTGACAGATGGTTACTAGATTTATTGTGGTGACATTTATAAGTGTTGACTAACTGTGGCACACTCCTAAAACTCAGATAGTATTGTATGTCTATTATACTTTAATTTTAAAAAATTAATAAATATTTTTGAAAGATGTCAGCACCGTCAAAAAGAAAAGATCATATTATTTAAAATAAGCTTATAATAAAATAGCTAGCAAAAAAATAATAATTGAAGATTTCAATCTTCAATTCTTTCTCCATTTCTATTTCTTTCTTGAGGCAAAAATGGAGGAGGAAAGGTTCTGAGACTTCCAAAAGGGAAATATCCTTTATCCAAGTTAATTCGGTAATATTCATCAAAGCATATGACCTGCAACACCATCTGTATGAAAATGTTTTCAAGATTAATTATATAAATGCATGGACCAGAAGGCATTGGGAGGGGGAGGAGCAAGAAAGCTAAACCCTAAAGAACATGCCTTAACCTAAAGTCTACTTACAATTGTTTTAAACACGATCCTAACAACTTCTATCAAGTGTCCTACTAACATATGGCACAAAACTAAAGACAACCTAACCCGCATGAGTTAAAGACATAAGGTGCGTATGGCAAGAAGGCCTATAAAAGGCATGGTCCCCGCAGCTGAGCGGACCGGGAACTTGAAGGAACAGTGGCAGGAGGCCATTTATGATTGATGCTTATAAGCAAACCTTGAGCAGTCTTAAAATAATCTTCAGTACAAGGTAAAATGCCCTTCATATTGATTTTTCCATTAAGACATCTTAAACTGTTTAAGAATGCAAGAAATGTACAATAAATCTTATTTTCGTTCAATATATTTTTAATAAACATATTTATCACTTTGAAAGATTCAACATTGCTTAGAACTAGAAATTAGTATCAATACTTTAACCATTCCTTTATAATGTCTAATAATTGAGGTTTTACTCTATTATTAATTATTATTAATCTTATTACTGTTATTATGAATTCCATAAAGGAACAAAACAGTAAATTATAGAAAGGGATCTTTCCTGAGACCCATTCTAACCATTTATCCTAAGATGTCGTTTTTGAGGGGACTTTTACTTGATCCCAAATATCATTCTCCTGATAAGTCACTCTATAAATATGGCATGCATCGTCCCACAAGACAGATCAGTTTCTACCCAATTAAACTGAAAAAAGCATAGTAAGGAAAACCCTTCAAGAGGGGTTAACACTCCCTAAGCTAACCTCAAACCTGATGTTGGCCCAAAGTATTCCAGAAGAACATTGAGTAGCTGTCCCTATTTTCTCAAACCGGAAAAATCCAAAGGTTTTCATTTCATTTTCTGGCTCCATATTCAACCCGTGGTCCTAAGGATTAGTCAAAAGGGTTTTTTTTAATGGGACTTAAGAACATGACAAGGACTATGTGATTCATTTTTCCCCCCATGTTGAGCCATCTAAAAGTACATGACCTCCAAATCAGAGAAAATGTCCTCACATACTACCCAACACAGAAAATGACCATGGAAATGAAGAGTGGGCGAAGGACGACAGGTCATTTTATTTACTTGGTTGAGGAAAGAACTGCTTAGCTGGACTACTACTAACAATTACCAATCCACCATTTACAAGTTTACTGGCATTATGCAGGCAATTTTGTATTTTTCATAAACTCCACACATTTAAACACACACACATAAACACATACACACCCCATAAAACTGTCAAGCAATTTCATCCAAACTGATCCTTTTTTCATGTTACAACATGTCCACCCTTTGGGAGCCAAAAACTGTTGAAAGTGGGTCAGGAGTGGAGCAGAGGAAATGTCTCCTAAAAGAACTGAAAGACAGCCATACTCCTCAGGTTCTTCTTCATGGTTCCATGAGGCACTCTATTAGAATAGTCAAGTGACCCCTTCTAACCATTTATCCCACTCGGTGCTCCAAGCAGAGATACTCATATTCTCTCTACTAATAATAGAAGCCTTCCAGGGCCGCTCAGGCAGCTGAGAGTTTGGAAGCAGTCTCGATTCGTCTATTTTTCTTTTCATAAATAAAGTTTTCAACAAATGAACCAAAGCTATTTGCTTTCACTACATGGGAAGACAATTTAAATAGGAAGACTATCTTAAAAATGTAAATCAAAAACAAACACATACCAAAAAAAAAAAAATGTAAATTCAACACACCATTAAAAAACACTGGGAGATTAATGACTTAATTTAAAAAATAAAATAAAATCCTAGTGTCTTTTCTTTGCATGAATCCTCTGCTTCGCAAAAATGAGTTGTTTCCACATATGCTGAGACTGCTTGAGCCAACTAAATAAGTGTGTTCATTA